CATAGTCATAATGCCACGCGCAGGAGGGAGGGGAGGACGAATTTACACCACTATAGACGACCAAGGGCGTTTATTGCCACCAAACACTACCCTCGTGACGCAAATGCGACATCACGATACCTCTGTGTCTGCTCTTGGCTCAGCCTTTACTCCAAAGAGGACCGGGCCGAGTAAGACGACACATACGTGGAACAGAACGTCCCCGTATTTTTTTTAATTTTTAGCACGTTACTAAAAACAGGTGCTGGCTGTCTCAGGCCATAACATAAATGGGAATAACCAATGTTTCTTGCTGGTATTTTTTTGTTCAGATGCATTGGTAATTCGGCCTCTGGTGTTTTTTTTCACTCCAAGTGAATTGGTCTCAGTTACCAGCTGATATAAGCATCGTTGTATCATATTTAACGTCATTTGACAGCCGTCATTAAAGCCAACTCGTTGCATATGGATGGTTCTGTGAGGAAGTATGCACATCCTCCCTGGTTCCAAAACGCGTACGAATTTTCATTTGTGGCGTTATCCCAAAGGTTTCGCATGGTAGGGACAACCAAAAGACGGAGATAGGGCTTCGTTACTCAGCTCCGTGATAACCTTCAAAGGCAACACCCATAGCAACGTTAAGCCACGAGACGAATGTGTGCCAAATAACCCCGACGAGCAAGAGGCCTCCCGGACAATCCCAGTCGTCGAAATATATGGCTATACCCGAGCCAAGCCTTTGGGAAACTCGACGTTTCAGGTACTGGTGCCAGTCATGCCCTGATTATAAGGCCCTGGGCCTTTTCGCTGATTCTTGCTCATAATCATCTGGTAAGGCAACCGTTTCTGGTTTGTCGTATCTTCATCCGACCAACTCTGTCATTGAGCCACAGTGGCTGTCAGTCATCTACCCCAAGAACCTGATTAGTTCCTAAAGCTTTTTTTGCGGAAGGCATCAGTCGTCATTTCTCGCCATTTTGCAGAGATAGCGGACATGATTCCTCACCGCAGTTCATGAGTAACGTCATGCTGCCAACAGCACTAATGGCACATGGAAGGCGTCATGTTTGCCACAGTCGTGATATTCCTGTCAACTTTTCACTTTTTCTTTCCGCTGTCATTTCCCCTTTGCTTCTGCTGCGGAGTAGATAATCATGAGCTTGTCTTTGCCGGTGCTCACTCCGTGTGCTGATGATCATTTTGCATCCGAGAAAATGTTAAAGAACTATGCAACTTATTTGGAAAGACGTATTTTGTTTTGTACCCGACAAAACCTTGAGATGCGAGCTCAGTGAATATCATTTCTGCACGTCATGGCCGGCCGTTAACGTGGTAGCACCAGCCTGGGTGCATGGGTGCTGGTGAAGCATGGCCTGCATCAACACATGTGCTCGCTCTCGTTGTATCCGATAAAAGCTAAGGCAATTTTGCAGCTGTGATCTCCCGAAATTATTAGAGCACGCACTGCTCGGGTATTTCAGGTGGTCTTCCATACGGCGCATAAGGAACAGTGTTTCCGTTCTTCATTTTTCCTGTAACGCGTAGATGTCGCGCACTCGTCACAATATTTTGGTTTTTAAGGTATTAATTCCAGCAGAGACGTTCATAGCAGAGTGCAGAATTAATAATGCTGTTGACGTCGAAGCGTAAAGAACGCTTTTCATGCAAGACTGAATGCCTTGACGTTGTCAGCCAAGACGCTACGCGTCTTACTCAAATGATTGGTGCGAGTCTGCCAATGCTGGCTACAGAAGCACTGTTCGGGGCGTTAAACATTGAAAGTGGTCAAGGCTGTAAAGGGAGTCAAAACCACTCTATGCAATGGGTAAAATAGTAAAAGAATTCGCGAGTGGTTTTACCCAAACACGCGCCTTTGGCCACGGTAAGCATTTTAAGTGTGGAACGGTTTCATCTTGTAGGTTTCTATCAGTTACTTGAAGGATACACACAGTGTCTCGTCTTGCAGCGTCCGGGGAGGCATTTTTGTGTGAAAGCGACATCTCCAACGCCGCCACTGTCAACAGTATTAGGGTTCTGTGCTCCACTGTGCGGCTCAGTTCCAATGCGTGCACAGACGCTTTCCCGGTCTAATAGTCTGCCTGTAGCTTGATTCGTCTTTTAGCTAATGCCTTCCGGGACATTGAATGTCAGCTTTTGTCATCGTAAGAACGTGATTTAAAGGCGATGTTCCACATTTGTATCAGGTTTTCGGCTCAAATAGCCATTTTGAACATCATGTTGTGCAGTTCACAGCCCTGCTCTTCTTGAGACTTAAAACCCTCTAGTGCATGAGCTCCACGCCTGCAAAGATGTGCAGACCATTTCGTGTAGACTGTTTCGTTTGTGTGCACGAAGACTGTTTCGTTTGTGTTTCGTTCGTTGCTATTGTGTGCACACAATTTCAACGCCATTCAGACATGCATGACGTCACAGCAGCGATGTTCAAATCCTGCCAGCCCATACCAGGCGACATCCGAGACCAGGAATAATATTATCGTTTAGCCGTTCAGATCTGGCGTTCGTGAGCACGATTTTCAAATACGGTGAAAACATCAAGCAATGTTGAACAGACTGCGCAAGCGTCAATGACGAATCACGTTATGTGCTGCGTAATATAAAAAGTTGGGCATGGCTTCTTCGCTTGTTATTTATTAAGGGAATGATACTTGTAAGCGAATAACTTACGAATAACTCGATAACCGAGCATGTGAATGCAAGTAAACATTGCAAAATCGCGGATACAAGAACACCACGAAAAAGACCAGAACACGAGAACATAACGATATTTGGCTCGGTGAACACCTCCGACACCGCCGCTGCCATCTCTTGACGAGTTTAAGTATCACAAGGAAGTGCTAGGGTGCAATTATCTTTAACAAATTATCTTAGATATGTTCGACACACCTTGTGACAATCCATATCTTGACTGAGATAGCTAATTGTTGTTTATAATATCAATGATCATATTAAATGTCTCCTTATCCAAAATACGTAAGTTGTTAAGTGCATTTGCGAGAAATATTATTCATATAGATAATACAGCAGTTATAGCTTTATTCCTCGGAGAAAAACGAGGAGATTAAGATATAGATGTGTTGAAATTTTGGCTACATGCCTTTATCGAAAATGTGTCTGTTGACACATTTTTAGCACGTTATTTTTTTGCCTGTTGACGGACGCAGACACGCCTTTGTTGGCACTTCTGCTATTGTTTCGATAAAAGCATGTTGCCGAGGTATTAGCACATCTACATCTCTATTCTCCTGTTTTTTTTTCGCTGAGAAATGAAGATATTACGACTGTGTTACTCCAATCAAACATCAGCGTTTTGTAACAGACAGCCATTTGTTGCTGATACTCTTCCTTAGACTGTTTGACAATAACAAATAATATTGCATTGAAATTAAATTTCAATGCAATTGCATTGTTGTAGAGCAGCAGTGTCGCTTCAAAATAACGTCCATACATGGAAATGCAATACGAAAGGACGTCAAACATTTCAACCATCAACGAAGTGCTGAAAATAGCGTCATTCTGGTGGTTGCTAATTCCTGTTTTATAAAATGATGTGCAGCATGCGTCGACGGGCACACGTTACGTGGAACGTTAGCGTTTTCGGAGATCCTTATAACATCGACGGGCCACAGAGCCGCCCAGAAATCGGGTCCAGCCCCCCTCCCCCCCCCCCTCCCTCCTAGCATGGGCCCGCTCATTGTCGCCTGACCTTCCTCGCCCCGTCCCCCGCCCCCCAATAACACTTCCCTGATACCAAGTAATTCAAACGTTTTTGGAAGTGTCCGTTGGGTGCTGTTAAACCGCCCGGTTCACCTCGTGTCTGCTGAGGCAGGCGCTCTGGCTTAGTGCATGGGTGTGCGCTAGCGAATAGTTGCCTGCCTGACATGGATATTAATGCTGTCATGGTCTTGCATGCTGCCATTTTCCTCTTTGGCAGAGATCTTGTCACAAATTTCAACTCTGAAGATGACATTTTTACGGTTTCGCCAGGAGGGAAATGTTTTGAATCATCTTTTGCTTCTATAGTCCGCGTGTCAGTGTTTCCATGATAAGTTGATTAGCCTGCACCCATATTATCAGTCCTGGCTGCAAAGACATCTCCGATTCCAGCTGATGGATTGTGTACTGTGCTCAGATTCCCCTTTTCCTAAGGGAAGTTCATGCTATGCGATGTGTGATGTATTACTTATATGATTAAAATAATGGTTGCTCTGGTTAACTAACACAACGATGTTTGCCGCCTCAATGCATGAACAATATGTTCTAAAAAAATATTCATTGAGCGTTTCGTAAGCTTAAAGCGGCAGTTTTACGTAAGTCCCATTGACACATTACATTTAAACGACTCACCCGTAAAGCTGTCAGTGCCTCTGTTCAAGGTTTGGATTTTCGACTCTCCTGCGTGTGTGCATTTCACCAGAGTTCAACTGACGAGAGCTGCTGTTGATTTCAGGTGTACCGGTAAACGTGGGAATAACAATACACGTTGTCAGTATTTCATCACTTTCTGAAGTCAAAATGGTACTGCTCGCTCTTCTTTTCTTCGTAATCAACTTTCGCCGGGGTTCCCAGTACGTCAGGCATTTAAAAAAAAGATTGATTCCGGGAGGTTACTTGGTATCCCGAGTTGCTCATATGAATATTCTGCCCGCGCTGTTTGGCAGTCTCCTGCCGTACTGCGAACGCCGGCTCTGTAGAAATCGGCGCCGGCGTGGGGAGACGTCCCCTCGCCGGGCCGGACTGGAGGGTCAGGCCGACCCTGTCGCCAGCAGCAGGACAGCTCAGCGGCCTTTCTAACAACCGTGGACTGCCCGGCGCTCGCAACCGTGCCTCCTGGTCTCTGGGGTGCGCTGCCCGTTACCGGGCGCCGCCTCTCACCCCAGAGCCCTCGCCGCGTCCGGGCGACAGCGTCGGCCTGCCCCGCCCCCCCCCCCCCCCCCGCCGCGCCGCCCGCCGCCACTGTCCTCGGCGCGTCACGCTCTGTACACTCTGGTGTCCTCTTGCAGGCGAACCCGTGACCATCGGTATCACACTCCACGTTACCTCCATCGGCTCCGTGTCGGAAGTTAACATGGTATACCACTCTCTCACATGCTCTCTGTGCTCTCTGTTCAGCGCACTCAGCACACTGACGCGCGCGTGTAGCTTGGCTTGTTTGGATCGCGACATGCGTTGTTGTGCTGCACGCCGGCCGCCGCCGGCGGCCCCCCGGCTCCGAGACTTGGCTTGGCTTTGGCGCGGAGGCCGCCCCCGCCGGCTTGGGACGCGCTCCTCCTGCGGCACAGAGTCGCGCGGCGCGCAGTGCGAACGCCCCGCGCGCGAGTCGGCCCGGCCGACAGCCAGGTCAGAACGCCGCCCGGGTCGCGCTGGCCGTCTCGTTAAATATCAATCTCTCGCTTGAAGCCCCAAAACGTCAGGCTGACAAACTGCCGAGATGCATCACCTCCGGCTCCGGAGCTGGCAAGAGAGCGATTGGGCCAAAGTGAACGTGTCGCGAATGGATATGGGGATTCCAGTCATGTCACGCGGCAGTGGTCATCAAAGAAACGACCTGCTTGATCTTACTGCGTCATGCGCATATCGATCGTTGTGAGTGATGGCGCGAGGTAGGCATTCTTGAAATTTTAGATTGATTTGCAAGGTTCGCAAGGAGCAAGCTATTTGTGTTCCGCATAGGAGCTCTATGAAATTGCTCTGTTAGTATTATCATCGCTGGAAAATTAAAATTGGATCGTTTATGCGACAAATCTGCACGGAAACTGTGCTCATGACAATCGTCCACCAGATATCTATCCATTTTATAGGCTAATTTTAAACGAATGATTTCATATTTCGTTCGCTAATGCCGGAATCCGCGACATTTACAGCGTCGTTAGCATTACTAATCCGCAAAAGACTTAATGGCGCGGCAGGCTGTAAACGACACTGAGGCCGTCGCATCGTCGCGCTGCCGGTCCGCCGGCGCCAGCGCACGTCCGGGGGCACGCCGCCGAACCAGGCCCCGCCTCGCCGCGGAACCCGACCAACCTGAGCGTCCGCCCTCTCTCTCTCTCTCTCTATGCGGAGAAATCGAGCCAGGACTGAGGTCGCTACGTAGCTCTCGTCTCTCCGTCTCTCTCGGAGTCTAGAGCTCTCTCTATCTGCTTAGCTCTCTCTCTCTCTCTCGGTCTCTCGTCTCTAGATCTATCTCTCTCTTCTCTCTCTCGCTCTGCTCTCTCTCTCTCTCTCTCTCTCTCTCTCTCTCTCTCTTTCCTCTTCTCTCTCACCTCCTCTCTCCTCGCTCTTTCTCTTCTCTCTCTCACTCTCTCTCTCTCGCTCTTTCTCTTCCTCTCTCTCTCTCACTCTCTCTCTCTCGCTCTTTCTCTTCCTCTCTCTCTCACTCTCTCTCGCTCTTTCTCTTCCTCTCTCTCTCTCCCTTTCCCCTCTCTCCGCCCCTCTGTCTGCTGTCGGCCGCCGCGCGCGCCTGCGCCCACGCCTCCCACTGGACGATGATGGCGCTCCGTAGTCGGCCTCCCACTGTGCCCCGGCCTCCGCGAGACACGAGGCCGCGGCCCGCCCCGCCCGGACCGCACCTTGGAGAGGCGGGCCGACCAGCCGTGCCCCCGTCCCGCCGCCAGCCACGCCCCCCGGGCCGGCCCCGCTGACGGCCTCAGCGGGCCCAGCTCCGTCACACCGATTGCCAGATGTCAGACATTCGCTCGGCGAACTTGTCCGGCTCGACGGCCCACAGACGACGTCTTTTGCGTTGTTGCACATTTTATGCTTAGGATCAATTTTTTTTAGTGTAAAATGATACCTAATTTTTAGTTCAGTTGTCATGAAAAAACTAGGTAGGATTTTTGTGGCATTCAAGATGTTTGTCCATCGGACTTAAACGGTCAAAGTCATCGCATAAATATTTGGGTTCATTTTAACAGGGCCGCAAAAATAGATTCGCCGTTTTCAAGAAAGCTTCAGCAGGGCCGTTGCCCGGCGGGCGCGTCTGAGTGCAATCCTATCCGAAATGGCTTTGTTGTCAAGTGTTTTGTGGGCAAAGTTAGAGCGATTCATGTCCGTCACCAGCTGTTCAATAGCGAATATGTCGATTCTCCAATGAGAATGCTTAACTCGCGTTTTCTAGACAGCCACACTAACCTAGAATCGCTCCAGCTTCGCATGTTCGAGCTTTGCCGTTTTCTGTCCATGCGGTGGGTGTCGTGTTTTGGGCGGTGCCGCGGGAGTCGTCGGCTGTCATGTCCAGGCGCCGTTACGAGGCCGCCCGTCGCCGTGACGGCGCCACGCGGTCACGGAGGTGCGCCGACCGGCAGTCGACGGTCGCCTCTGTGATTTACGCGCGCGCCGTGCCGGGGCGATGTAGCGACGCCAGGCTCAGCTGGTGGCGCTACGCTGCCCGGTACCGGTGGTGCCCGGCGCCGGCTGATGCGCGGTCCTCAGTGCTCCGCCACCGGCTGATGCGCGGTCCTCAGTGCTCCGCCACCGGCAGGACTTCACCATCGACTTCTTCTTCCGGCAATTCTGGCGAGATTCGCGCATGGCGTTTGTGGGCGACGGCATCGACGCGCTCACCATCGGCTCCGACTTTATCAAGAACATCTGGGTGCCCGATACGTATTTCCCCAACGAGAAGACGAGCTACTATCACCAGGCCACCGCGTCCAACGAGTTCCTTCGGGTTCAGCCGACTGGAGACGTCCTCAGGAGTATCCGGTACGTGTCGCACTCCGCTCTCTCGACTCTCTCTCTCTCTCGCTCTGGCTGCATGTCTTTCGTGCTCGTTGCGGAGAGCGATATATTTGACAGTGTAATCTTCATACCATCTGTGACATTGTTTGCCAAGCAGTGAATGCAAGCACGTGGAAGCTTCTAATAGCTCATTGCGGCAACAAAGTGGAGTGGAGAGATCCGGTAAATATATCGTGCTAGATGGCTCTGCGCGCAAAATCCTCCAGGTGTTTTGCAAATCGTGCCATCTAGGAAAAACAGGTGGAAGAGTTGCATGGAAATAACGACCGTTTTGACGACGCATCACACATAGCACCACGCAGATAGCATAATTAGTTTATCATTTAATTCGGACTAGTTGCCAACATGCCTTAATTGCGCGACTTCGCCGACGCATTTTTGTCCTTAGTTCCACAATCAAATGAGATCCCAGCACGACGTAAAACAACGTGAATAAGGTGAACTGAGACACAGCGGAGGAAGTTGAGAACAGAACGTTGAAATTTTTGGCACCAGTAGAATTAATGAGGCAGTGTGCGAAGTTAGAAGCGTGATATGTTTGAATGCTGCTTTTCTTTTACGTGTGTGGTATTTTACGAAAAGCGTAGCCGCCTGGGGGAGGGGTCATAAAAAGTAACCGCCTTCCAATTCAGAAAACAGCTTCCGATCTATGACAAATGAGATTCCCAAATGCTCAGCACCGACAGCCGATTATTTTGACAAGCTCCTGACTAAAAATATCACCACATTAGGTCAGGACTTCCTGTTATGACCTCATCACTGGGACTATTGCATTTATATTTTGGGGGCTACACGCAACAATTGGCGGCCCCCTTTCTTGCCTTGGATTGCGTTCATACCATCATCGACCACCCAATGATCTGTCCGTCATGGACTAGCACTCGTAGAAGGTCATACCAGGTCACCATTAGAGGTCATATAAAGTCAGCTTGCAACTGCTGAAACAAGGTGATTTTTGCGTCTGTTTGTGATAAGCCCGGCGGGTAAGGGTACGACTGACATCTTTCCTCACCGATGACTCCTATATACAACTTGAGCCGGTAGAGCAAAGCAATCATGTTTGGATTGGTCACCTTACCTAGGCCCCATATGATGTTGACCTGAGCTGACCTTGACCATTGATCCCTCTTAACATCGTATCATTCTGAAGTGCATAAACGCGTACTTTCGTATTGTTCCAGTTTCAAAGCCGCAAGAGCACTGCTGCGAGTGCTAGAGAGCCCTGAAGACGTTCAAAGATTTGGCGATTTTGAGGCATTGCACGAGACCTATGACGTCATCATTCCGATGACTGCTGTCACCTCAAACTTGCCTTGGCACGATTGAACAAGGCTTCTGCCTGCCGCTCGATTTTTTTTTCCGATCCGTTGATTAGATAACGAGACATCGGGGTTGGTACCATACTCTTGATCCCCCGTCAGTTATGAGTGGCGAAATGCCTCAGGCAGTGCCCGGAGCCGGTAGTAGGTCTCTCAGTCTCATTGGGTGTGGGCCTACTAAGTCATCTACTGTTTTATTCCATGTGGCCGAGTTTTGTGTGTATCTAAAAGATAAACGATAAAGTGGCTAGTTCTGCTGCGATTTACATTTTCCTATTTTACTTTTAAAGTTACTTTGATGCTGTTCATGTGAATCCAATCAGTGATACCTCATCAGACTACATCCGTGTTTCTACAGCTTAAAGCTGCTTCAAGCCAGGACCATAGGATGTGTTGTCGAGCATTAGTTGTTTAGCTTTACTCATTGTTTCCAACAAAAAAAAACTATCTAGACAGCATGATACTGTTAGCCTTGTTCCTCGTAGAATAACCAAGAGCAAACAGAGATGACAGATGTATTGATATTTTGGGTGCATGCCTTTATTGAAACGAATAATGTTGAAATAAAATTCGTTTCGACATGTAGTCGAAATATCAATGCGTCTGTCTCTTTTTTCTCTCAGCTATTCTACGAGGAATAAGGCTAGCAGTATTGCATTATTTAGATGCATAATGCTTCTTGTAAATGCACTTAAAAACTAAGGTAATTTCTGAAAGCGGTCTGGTTTGTAAGCACCAATTCATACTATGGTATTAAGTAATGGATGGTGAGGTATGGCATGAGCACATTTGGTATGAGTTAAGCAATAACTACTATATTATTCATCTATCGGAGTCCACAGATGGCCCCAAAATGATCTTTACATCCACCTTTACGCCCATTTGTGTAAATCTTGAGCGCTAATGGATATGTTGCGTAGCAACTACCAAACATTCTTCACCAAAACGACAAAAAAACCTGGCAAAATTGGCATTTTTGGTCACATCGGGAAGGAAAAGGATATTTTCCACATAAACTTTACAGTACTGTGCATATTACCTATCTTCCCCGCGCGTATGATAATGCTACCGAATACCCTTTAATGGGAGGATATTCAATCGGTGCATCGTGGCTGGATAAAACAAAACGCACCTGGCCAAGCGGACGACCCAAAGTCAGTCAGGTCACGACATTTTTTCACCTTTTTTACCTTTTCTTTTAAGGGATATTGTGTCATCATGCAGTGCTCTTGCGCTGAATAATGCAACAGTTTGAAGTAATCAAAAGAGGCCTTGAGCTGCTGATTTTTGGCATTATCAGCTTGACCTTCTTATGATAAGAATATTTCTCTACAGCATACCAGGAAGCGCTGCTTAAACAACGTTATCAGGCAAGAATTGGTCAGTCTCAAAACTCCACGTTTTAAGCTGTGCTAATAGCCACAAAGCTTACTCACTCTTGGGCATGTACCCAGCTTAAAGCATTGAATTTTGTCAAAATTACCAATGTTTGCTTGAAAACGCGTTTAACCAGTATCTACTGGCATCGTAAAGGTTCATTATCGTCCCCACAAGAACCAAAAAACGCACAACACAACAGTTTCCCGCCCTTGTGTTGCAAATATGCCTACAAAATATATTCATCAAAATTGTTGACGCAACTCAAAATACGCTTAAGGTTCTTGCACTCGAACCCATCGTGTCGCATGGCGATTAATCACTCCAGAACCCTTTGACAGGCCCAAGGTCACATCAGTGATGTATATTCAAGTGACGTGACGTTTGTGATTTAACGCCGACCACAATAAACGCCAATGGTATCTTTATCAGTGGCTAGCCTTGGTAGACAGTGACATAAGAGCTGACTGTGAAATGGACGAATAACGTCCAAACTCTGCATAAGCAGCCAGCGACCAAATGCATGAACACACCGGGAGGTTAAGATTTGGAGACTTTGACGTGCAGTTCATCCTCAGACAACGTGACTGGACTGTCCAGCAGTGGCACCTGGCAACTACGCTAACCTACCTTGCTTCATCATCTGCTGTTTCTGTGATTCTTAAGTCCTGAATATTAGCGTAGACATTACGTCTCAAAAAGAACTGAAATAATGTAAAGAACTGGTATTTCAAGTAGCTAAAATTACTCAACAGTCCGATCATTAATGCAATCGAGCTGTGTGTGGGGAGAGTAATACGTCAAGCTGCTCTTGTCAACAACTTGTTGCCATTTATAGCCCTGAATAGCGTAGTCCTTTTGAAAATATTCCAGTTCAACAAACGCGAGGAGCTCGTCAAAGCATATAAGTTACGGCTAAAAGGACGATGACCATACGCTGTGTGCATGGAACAGGCAAACAAGGCTGGTTTCAGGCTGGCCGGCTAGCCATTGATTGGCCGGCTGGCCGCAGCTGGCCGATGCAGGGAGAGGGCCGACGAAGTTCCTGGGGTCTGACCGGCTTTGGTAAATTTACAAGGACTGTGGTAAATTGGCGCTCTTCTTGAGACCTTAGGGTGCGTTGGAATCGGTTACACGCGGTTAAAAGGGAAGAAAAAGGCTACTTACTCTAAATCTGACGTGAAGCCAACTCAAGACCCCGGTTTTAGTTATTTGCCAACGGGGCCTCGCTCCTTCAAAACGTATGAAATTAAGCACTTTGAAATTACGATGATAGCATGCAATCCCGAGGAGAGCTGATCTTTCTCCGTCTTTTGATTTCTAGGGCATTTATTAGAAGGACGCGCCCGTCAGCCTGGCACAAGTTTAGTGTGTATGTCCATGCGACGCAGACCAGATTGCGTAGGTTTGTATGCCTGCTTCATCAAACCTAAATCTGATCGCAAAATCGGCTAGCCGGTTAGATGCCGATACCTGGTCGGTTAGCTGCCGACCCAAAAAATGGCTACTCGTATTTAACCATGAGGCAAATTCGCCAACGCTCCCTTGGCTAGCTGCTCAAAAATGGTAATGATAATTGTCACGGCATCAAAACTAGCTAAACTAGCCACTGATTATTTTATACTTTTCATTACCAAACGTCATGGGCTCTGAACTTACGCACCTTTGTTAAAATGAATTAACCTGGTAGCAATGGATCAACAATGACTCGCGCACTTTTCGAACATTTGAGCATCGGCCTAAGAGTGTGCCGGCCGTAATTCGGCCTACATTATATCATCGACCCTAATCTAATCGTGGCTAATATGCCGTAATTCTTGTAAAAATGTCTCACTTTTTACTTTGAGTCAGAAAAAACCGAGAACTCTCCTGTTTCCCTGGAAGCCATCCAAATTGAACCTCCATAATGACAGCGCAGAAGCTACTTATGTATGCGACACTTGCGCGCGTCGGTTCGTTGTTGATGTGGCGTCAAGAAGACGTAGTGAGGCAGCTTGGCATCCATAATGTAGCCGGGTGATGCCTTCGCAGCCCCGAGCAATGTGATAGACTCTGAGTGGCTTGATGCGCTGCTCCGGGGAGCATCGCCGCGTGAGCAGCGTTCCTGGCTGGGGGCTGGCTCGGTCTGCGCCAGGCATGGGCGGTCACGGTCAGACCGAACCGCCAAGGACCGACAGCCAGCTGCAGACCGACACATTTACGACTCGGAGACTGGCGGGCCCAGATGGAAACTCGTCAAATGCGACTGGGGAATGGCAAAAGCCAGCCGAACTGGGGCTTGACAGTGGCCCGGTCATGAAAACTGCAAGGGTGAACTGGCAGGCACTTTGCGCTTGGAAATCCGAAGCAGGGCACCCTGAACGGAGGGTATGCTGTTCCGCAATGCACGTGTGTGGCGGCACAACCTACCATTCAACGCCACCACTTATAGCTGATGTATAATGGGCGGGTTGGCTCCATCGGAGCGATGAAGACCCAAACGATGAAATTACACAACTGAATCCCATGCTGAGCATGTTGCCAGCTTAGCCATCGTTCAGCGCTCGCCGATGCGTTGCTGTTTAGCAGAGGCCTCGCAAGCGCAAAACAACCTCAATCTGTTCAGTCAGCCAGCTGGCACCCGCAATTTCCATCCCATTTGAACGCAAAGCTCTCCCCATTCCACACAGGCCGTGGTGGATGAGCGAGCAAAACGCTGTGGCCGCCCCATGCCGATGTAACGTTGCCGAGTGGTAAGGGGCGCAACAGTGCTTGTGCTTTCGGACGACTCCGCTGGTTCGGAGCGCGCGAGGGAGCGGAACCCTCCGCGCATTAAGCGGCCCGTGACCTTGATGATAGAAGGCTCACTTTTCGGCGGAGCGTCGTCGCTGAGGATACTTTAATGGGGCGGCATCTGCTCGCCGCCACGGGCGCTCCCATCAGTTTTCATTCGCGCGCCATGGCCGGCTATTTGGCCGCGCCAGCCGCGCCCCCATCCCCTGCCCTCCCCCCCTTCCCCAAGATGTCGGAGGCCGGCGCGGCCAGCCGGATGAAGATAGAGGATCGCTGCTGTGACGGGCATTCGATAGTGGACCGGGACAGCGTCGGACACATTTGATGCCGCGGCTTAGATCTGTGGCAGAAATGGACGGCCGGCCGCCGCCCGGAGCGGCGAGCGGCGATATGAACAGGGCCAGCGCCGAAATGACGCGCTGGAAAGCGGCTGGAGCAGGACGGGGGGGGGGGGGACGGGGGGAGGAGCGGGGGTCGCCGAAACCGGGCGGCAAACCCGAAGTATCCGCAAGTTGGAGTAGTTCGTGTGTCAAGACTGGGAATACGTGCTCGGCAGCTCTGAGTCTGCCGAATCCCTGGAGTTAGACTCAATCAGAGTGCCTCTCACCACACTCCACCAAACTCGGGGGTGGGCCGGACTGGGTCTGACAGACGTGGGAGTGACTTCACCACCAAAATTGGGAGGAGAAGCTGACCCCATCCTACCATTATCACACCATGACACCATCCTGGCGCACAGGTGCTCGTCCAGCCTGTACCACATCGGCCTGGTGCCCGTGAGGACCGCGCTGAAATCCCCCTCACGGCATACGTCACCAGGGCTGTCCGGACCACCACCCGAAAGGTGGCGGCGCCAATGGCCGGCCCGCTCGCCGAGGGCCGGCCCAGCCATTACCGCGCGAGCCCGCCTCGTCACGTCCGCGTCGGGGAGGACGCGCGCCGTTCTGCCGGCGCGGGCGTGACTGACCGAGGTCCGGCCGTCCTCCGAGCCGTACAAGTCCCGCGCACCGCCCGGCCATTACGGGCGCCGCGCGCCTAACGGCTGGGCCTGCCCTCCAGGCCACATTACGCATCATAACGAGCGGCGGGCCCGGCGGGCGGCGTCCATCCCTCAGCGGACTGCGGGCGCGCTTTACAGCCGGCCCGGCCGGCGCCGGCGGCCGGCCGGCCCGGCCAGCCGCCGCTAATGCAGACGAATGGCGCGGGGTATGGCGACCCGTGGCGGGGGCACGCCGCGACACGCCGTGGGTGGGCGCTGCATAGAGCGAGATGTGTGATGTTATTTATGACGCGGCCTGATGCCGCCGCTGCAGGGGGCGCTGATCTCGAAGCGGGGGCCTTATGGAGAAGATGGTGGCTGGTTTGACCTTTGGGGCTCATATGTTGGGGCGAGGCTATGAGCCTGGCTTGGAATAAAGGTCTTGATTACACGGTTTTCAGCGTAATGCGTATGGTGCTGCGCCTGAAGTGCGTACTTTGAAGGAAGGAAAACTACTCCGGGAAATATATGGCGCTGGGGGCTGCGAGGCTTGGCCGGAATCATGCGTCACGGCCTTGGATTGGGAAATGAATTGCAGTGCATTGTGCTCACCAGATGGCAAGGTAATCAGCGATGTTCGGAATCGAGCTCCTTGTTATTCGGTAATGCATGTGTCAAGGGCAATCTCTCGTACCTGCGCCGAAGCGGCGTCGGCGCTGGCAAGCTGATCAAACTTGCAGGTTTTTCGAACGGGCAGCTCTCGCAAAGTTTCTAAATATGGCCATAGGGCTAATAGGCTGCCGGTGCTTAGGAAGTGTTTCAGTTTCATCCTGTTGGGCCACTGATCGGAACAGCAGAAGCTACAAGTGGCAGTCGGCTGCCTTGTGGTCTGGAAAAATGATTTATCCTATTTTGTTGCATGGAGAGAAGCGATGTAAAAAATCGCCACTGTCCCCTCACCCAGATTCCCCATCTTTTTAAAAGATTTTCCTTCACTGGCTACTGGTTTTCGGAAAGTTGCAATGCTGCCTGCAAACGCCAACAATGTTTACCTCAAACAAGCGGAATTTCACAAAAACGAAATATGTGTGCATTTGGTTGTTCGAATTCCACGCCAGAAGTGATGATGTCGAGCCAGTGGTAAAATGAAAGTATAAACACATTGATATAACATAATCTACTTTAATTATATATTTTTCTTAAATTCTTTCTGCAGGTGGTATCTTTTGACAGCTTTTGAAATTCATCGGCGATGAGCGTTTTCGTAAAATACCACTCGACAATGCAAAGTAAAAGCCCGTTCGGGCACCCTAGCTCAGGGTGCTCGCCGCTGTCCCTGCTGGCCTGGTGCCGACCCAGCCCGTTCGGGAACCCCAGCTCAGGATGCTCGCGTGGCCTGGAGCTGGACATGGCCTCTGGAAAGGAGGGGAAAGGTGTGTCCAGGTGGGCCCGACTGCGGCGCGCCGCCGGCGCCTCCCTCTGACCTTTCAAAGTAAGGCCCGGATAGAGGGGCGTGCGATCTGTAGAAAGTCCCCTGCGTTTGTGAGCTACCGCAACATCGCGATGGGGCCTCAGATTCGCTTTATCAAGCGTGAGGTAATGTGCCCACTGGGATGACTGAATGTCACGAAACGGTCTCGACTTTGGTGCATTACTAAGAAGCAGACAACCACTGCATTTGAATAGTCGCCAGGTGTTATTTTTTCGCGGATGAATCAACCGCGATGAAACATTCAAAAGCTGTGCCGCCGTTATGGACGGTTTGGTGCTAAGCCATGCATTGCACATGATTACGTAATGCATGTATCGCGCGTGTGTGAGTCGCGCCATACCTGGGTTGAAAATAGCGAGAAGCATATGAGGTGGTATGGTATATCTCTCACAACAAAAAAGGACTAAAAGGCCGTAAATGATTGTTGGTCAAAGCATAGACATCAACAATCCTAAGAGATAAAAAGTCTGATTTAAATTTTACATGTTGTTTCAGAGTCACTCAACATATTCATCCCGTGCATGCTAAATGATCCCAAATTATTCTTTTGATGCAGTTCAACCACAAAACGCTGCTCTTTAAAACTAGAAAGGTGTTCAAACATCACACACGTGATTAAAGAGAAGCGAGCTGATTAAGAACAGAGGTGCGCACAATAACTACGTCGACAAGAACTTCGAGCAAACACCGTATCAACTGGCCGGTTCCGGCCTCTCTAGAAGTGCAGTCAGAAGAGACTTCACAAGAGAGGGATGCCACGTATGCGCGGGGCCTGAGTTCACCGGTTGATTCACGATCCCCATTAGAAACTCTGTTAGAAATCGGGAACAGGGTGAGCGTTCACCGATAAGCGCAAGCATAAGCGCTCGCCCACCGCTTATGCTTGGGAAAACGATGCCGCATGCCGGCGCTGGCTTCATTGGTAATCTTCTAATAATTGCCAACCTTCGACTCTTACATTAGATGTAAGGGAAAAAGACCAATGCAGATTACAACTGAAAAAACAACTGTCGAACTCAGCGCGCGGTGCGTTCGTATGGAAGTCAATCTAACTACTGAAGTTGCTGGCCTTATTCAAGTACAGTCATATTAGACGAGTATAAGTATGACGAGTAGCTAAACTAGATGGGTATGGGTCTGAGTAGGCAGAGCAGCAGTGAGAGGGTAATCATCGACGCAAACTTCACGCTGCTAAATCTCATTTCTCACGAATCTCAGGAAGTTCGATAACTCGGAATTTATGGCACGATTTCCATCGCTCAAATTTCATGTCTTCTAAAATTAGCGCACAATCATGATGGATTACTGCAATAGGACAAAGTTATAGCATCGCTGTCCACCACTCCGTTGTTCACACCGTCTCCAGATTGGCGAATCTCGACGCAATGGGACGTCCCACATGGGACTTACTAAACGCCAATCTACTAAAACCCCTGTTCCATTGATATCGGGCTGATTATCCCATCGAAGCGCGCGGTCGGCTCGGATTGGACTCAGCCTCCCGCATACTGTCCAATTTATCGAAATATATCGCATTCATCACGCCAAATTGATATCTCAGGCGGCGGGCGCTCGCGTTATT